AAGTTACTGGATTGAAAGGAGCAAATTGAAACCTAAACGATTTTGGTTATTCAAACCAGAGATATTTTTCTCCCCATATTCATGATTCCAAAACTGAAAAAAGAACAATCGGTATACCTTTTTCATAATTTGTGTTTTATCACGAGTTTTAGAGAGATGTATCGAATGTACCTACGTAATTATTTCTATAAATAATTCGTGAAACAGCTCGTCGAAATCTCACATCAGTTTCCTACCCATACTTTAGGAAACCGATATGTCATCAAATGTATGTATATTAATTATAACAGGTCAGCTAAAAACTCTGTTTTTAATCTGAGAATACGTACTTATACTTGGCAAGTTTCACATGTGAAGGTCGAGTAAACAACAAGGTGTAAATATGATCAACATCAATATTTTGACTAGATAAATTTTGCGTGCTAGGCGATTTTCTGCTATCGAAAAGAATGGATCAAAAAATGTGCGTTGAATTTTTTATGAAAATGGAATTGAGTTGTCAAAAAACACTTGAAATGTTGACAGTGGCAAACAGTGATTGTACTCTGAGTCACAAAAATGTTTACAGGTGGTGCAGCTTCTCACAGAAGGTCGAGAAGATGTGAATAACGATGCTCACTCTGAATGCCACAGCACATTATCAACCGATGAAAATGATGAGAAAGTGAAGAAAATTGTTATGGGGAATGTTCAAACTGTTGCTTATAACTTAACTATAGTTTATCGACAGATCATTTTTGAAATATTCGAGAGCAAAATGTATTAACCAACATGTGTGAATGAATAAAATAGGAGAAATTCCCAGCTCGATTGCAAAATGGCTTGGAAAAGACACGTATAAGAGCTACACAGGTAACTATTTCAGAAGAAGTTCTATAACTCTTCTGGCCAATGCAGGAGGCAACATTACATCCATAAAACGTCACGGTGGCTGGAAATCTGTCTCCGTAGCAGAAGCATATATTCTAGAAGATGGTTTGAATAACAGAATTGAGATTTCTAGCAAAATATTGAAATGTCCATCTTCCTCCAAACAAATTGAAATATCTGATAAAATTGTGGAATCAACATGGAAATTTATGTTAGAAGTAATTGTTCAAACTTCAGTATCAATCATTATTCCAACAAATGAAATTGTTTATGATGAATATTCAATTGATAATTGACTCTGTTGAAAATAAAACCTTCTAATTTCATGTTTATATTGTGAATTATTTTGGCAGTGAAAAAAATATTTTTTTACGGTGAAAGAAAGTAAATATTTACGCATTTACGCATGGAGATGCCAAAATATCAATTTTTTTTTGACAGTTGTACAAAGTAGCTATTTATGATATGAGTGTTAAAAGTAAGGTTTTCTTTTGTGGGTGAAAAAGTTTCACGAACAAAATAAAACCTACTTTCAACACAAATATCATACAAAGGTTTTTGTATAACTGTCCTGTTTTCATAATAAAATAGATAAATTTAATATTTCTATGAAAAACACTTTTTGACGACGTCTCTTGTCAGTTAACTATTTTCATGCTATCGCATTTGCTGTGAAGTGGCCGTGTCAGGTGACGCCGAATGACCTGGTTACCAACAAACAGTATTGTTCACAGCCCGTGAAAGTCACATTTGAACTTCTTGCTGGTATTTAATACCTTGCATAATGAAGAATAATAGTGAGGAATTGTGTATTCTTGACGATATTGAAGAGGCTGCAAAAAGAGTTTCAATTGAATTGTTACCAAAAAAATCGGCTCAGCAGTACGACATCGCATATTCTAATTTTCTTAGTTAAATAAATATCTACCAATGCTGAGTTTCTGAACCTCCCGGAACCAAAGGAATATATAGGTCGCTGTTTCAGAAGGTCTTCTGCTTCTTTGCTAGCAGAATCAGGAGCAAATATAACGGAATATGAGAAGCATAGAGGCTGGAAGTCTACAACAGTAGCTGAGGGTTACGTCGATTAATCTATTTCCTATAAAAAAGCTATTGCTGAAAAAATAATCCCTACAGCTAGCTCCAGCGTTACAGCATCGTCCTCTTCACTTCAATAATTAAATGATATCTAATGCACATGAAATTGTCAACTCAGATAGTTCAAATATATTACAAGGCTCTTCAACATCGCAAGGTATTAATATCAGCAGTTGTTCTAATTGTACTTTTCATATTAATGTTCATAAATAATAATAATGTAATTATTGTATATAATACATTTGTAACAGAATTTAATTATATCTATATCTATTGTTCATAATAAAACTTCCTTGAAAATTGAATAATTATGTTTTGTTTTTTGCTATTTGGTCGAAAAAATCGTGTTTGACACTAGTGTCAAAAATATTTTTAACACACTACTTTGTAAACATCATGTTTTAATATTCTTGACAATCATTAAAAATGTTACTTTTAATGACAGTTGTACAAAAAGTGTTTTTGTATATGTCAATGTTCATATAAAAGTATTTGTTTCGGAAACAAAATCTTTTTTTCCCAAAAATTAATCTCGCCTAAAAATACACCCCTTTCATTTGAAAAAGACCGGTGATGACGTCATTAAATGAAAGTAGATCTTCCTGTGAATTTAATTATAATTTAAAAAAACAGTACACCTTAATAAAAAAATTACATGTTTTGAATTTTTTCTGATGATGATTATAGTTTATTCATTCAATTTACAATGGATTGATGTGTATGGACGCACTGTATACACACAAATCAATTGCCTAACAGATTGATCTTGGGTACTCGGAATGTAACCATCCCTTGAACAGTTTATCTCCACTAAAAACACTGTGTAGGTAATGTAGGTATACAAAATTTAAAGGGTTGAAGAAAAATGTGTTTCAAAGTTAACATCCTTTTTTTTTCTATTTGTTATCCGAACCTTCAGATTTAACATTAAACTCACTGCGAAGAAGCATTTTCATGAAGTATCTACAATACAAGACTTAGATAAAATTATCTTTGTTTTTCTGACAAAAATCCAGGATCGATAGTCCGGTCAATTTAGACATTCGAAGCTACCCAAATTCCCACCAAGCTGAAAATCAGTAAGATTGCTTGAAATATGATTAAAAATAGAATTTGAAAGTTCCCTATATTTCCCCTGCATTGAAAAAATTTTATTCAAGGTCAAAGGCCAAAAAAGGAGTTTTTTGCGATTTTCAGCAAAACGGTAAGTTTTATAATAAAAATACTTCAGACAAAAATTGTAGATAATGAAATTATCTACAAAAAATGTACTAATACTTTTTTTCTACGATTCAAAAACTTGTAAAAGTTGTAATCGTCATAATATGCACACGTTTCCACGTCACTTATGAGATGGTGTACTCAGCGCGTTTTTTTTAAACGTGGTTTCCCCATTAGGCCTATTCCACGGGTAAGTTGTGATCCTGTTTAATTTGAAACTATTGCAAAATAATGAATATTAGCTGAGATTAAAAATATAAAAGCAATTTAAGTTAAAATACCTACTGAAATTTAATCGTCCGAGTCGTAACTTTCAAATTCTTCTTCTTGTTCTTCTTGTTGATCTTCTTGTTCTTTGTTCGTATTGTTCTTCTTCTTCATCATCTTCATCCTTAGTACATGTAAACTACGTTAATAGCGATGTATCGCATGTCGCCTTGTTGGAATCAAACGGATCATCCACTGTTGCTGATTCAATATTAGAGCACGACCGGCCTTGACAATGACAATGACAAAACAGTCCGGCTTTTTTGCAACCACATTTAGAACTGCACCCCTTTTTGCAGTTGCAAAAAATTGTTGACTGTCATATTTTCATCAAATAAAATATCAATTGATGTAGATGTTGCTAAAGTTCGACGACGTTGTTCTGCAGCTTTGGTATTTCTCGTGCAATCATTATAGCCATCAAATACGACAGTAACTCTGGAACCAAAATGTCGACGTACCTACGTAACGTATGTATCTAAGATAACGTTAAATATTTCTTCGCTATCCCACACGCGATGTAATAAGTATCCTCCGTCGATAATGTATGTCGCATTTATGTTGTTGATATCTGCCTTATCGAAACAATCGTAAATGGCAGACTTCTGTGTTTTACGCATCTCGATGTCATCAAACAACGATAAAGGGTAGGGAGATAATTCATATACAATGACCGATACAAAAATATTTTAACATATATCACAAATACAGAGATGTATATACGTGGCGTACCGATGCATATTATCACGATTACAACTTTTACAACTTTTTGAATCGTTATATCTCAAAAACTGTGACTCGTAGGAAAAAAGTATTGATACATTTTTTGTAGATAATATTATAATCTACAATTTTTATCAGATGTAATTTTGTGACAAAACTTACCGTTTTGCTGAAAATCGCGAAAAACTCATTTTTTTTGACCTTGAATGAAATTGTTTCCATACAGGGGAAAGATCGGGAACTTTAAAATTTCATTTTTAATTATATTTTAAACCAATCTTACTGATTTTCAGCTTGGTGGGAATTTAGGTAGCTTAACTCTTATTTTTTGGTCTAATTTGACCGGACTACGAATGACTAGGTAAAATTTGAGGCAGTGCTTCCCAAAATGTGCGTCGCGGCGAAATATTCAATTAAACAATTCGGCAATTTTCTTGGAATTTCCAATTCTCGAATTTTTGCGTCAACAATCGTTAATGCTGTCAAAATTCCAGGAATTTAGCATCCAATTTTTCAAGGAAGTCAAAAATTTAGATATACCTATTAAGGACGCCGCGAAAAAAATCCGATAATTTCAGGAGCCAAAAAAGATTGGAAACCTCTGGTTTGAAGCATAATACCATCGGAACTAGATTACTTAAATTAATTCCCATCGTGATACAAATAGATTGTGAATGAACGAATGAGAATCGATAATTATTTTTACGTGGAAGCTTCAATCTTCCGACACGCGTATTTTGTTATAAATCTATAAAATATTGACACATTAAGCGTGAAGCAAACTTTCAACTCGGCTTGATAATAGTAGTTTACAATCTCACCCCAGTTTTTTGGAGTCCGGCCAAAGCATTGGCCAGATGGTTTATCATAAATAGCTTTCTGAATATTTTCCCATTTGCTTCTATTCTCTGGTCGATAGAACTGAAATTCCACAACACCATTATCACTTTCTTTGCCGTCAAATGCCATTTTCACTACTTTTTCTGCTGAATGTCACTTTAGCTAATCAAAATTAAACGACGCTCGAAGCCGTATTTCAATTTTCTGGAATGAGTATTTGCTTCGTCGATATAAATGAAATGAGAGTAAAAATATACTTATCCTCTATTTCGTTTCGGATTGAACTAACTAGGTGGCAAATGAGTTCGTCGGTTTTGTAGGGAAACGGGTGTGTGTATTTGCGTAGTCCTGTATTTCAGTACACAACCAGGTTTCCTGAAGCGGACGATACGATGGTTTGCCGAACAATTTCAATAAGATCAGAGCTATTGGTCAGCGGCGTACCTTACAGGTGTGATTTGCATGCCGAGGGAAGTTTGGTGTTGACTTGATAGCTGTGTCGTATGTAACTTCTCATCCTGGGAGGTGTAAATCGAATTACAACTTCTCAACAATATTTTTTTCCGATAGATTGGATAACTACATTGTACCATTCCCAAAGATAATAATGATTAGATGAAACATAATGTCATGTTGGCTCTAGACAATACGCATCTCGTATCCAAGGCGATAAACAGGCCTACCACGCCCGCCGTGTGGTGAATAGCCGCCTAAGTAATAATAATGATAATAAATAAATAATAATAAGCGAGCTATATTGTCAGCGGATGTTCCTGCAATTCTGGAACCAGTCGAGATGATGGTAAACGACCAGATGGTATGTCTCTCATACCATGGAAATACGGTAAATCTGTGGTATGGGACTTTACTTGCGTTGACACGGTCGCGGCTTCCCATCTAGCCGAAAGTTCCAAGTCTGCTGGAACTGCAGCATTGTCTGGCGAGAAATTGAAAAGGAAAAAATACCAAAATCTTGTAAACAACTATCTGTTTCATCCAGTAGCGGTTGAAACTTTTGGTTGGTTCTGGCGTTGAATTTGGTCATTATTACGCCTTGGTCAAAGAAGAAATGGACTGGTTTAAGTTTGACGATAGTCGTGTCACGAAGTGTTCTGGCGATGCATTGAATTTATTGGAGCCTCTGGAGACACCCTACATTTTGTTTTATAAGAGAGAGGACATTGTTAGATCAAGATCTTCAGATGATGTGGTACTGCAGGTTTTTCCGGGTTTTCCTGCAGCTGAAAAAGCAAATGCGCCTCTGGGATCAATGAAGTCGCCCCGGAGCGCCAAATAATTTTTATTGCTGTTTTTATTTTATTTTTATCGTTGTTTTAATTTTTATTGTATTATTAATCTTTATTATTCAGTTAAAAAGCATAAGTATATGAATACATCCAAGCAATAACTCACAAAAAGTTATAATCAGTAAACAGGGTGTTTCAAATTCGATCCTCACCATTGGGATCTCGGAAACTATGAGAGATACGAAGATGGTTAAGTTGGGGCAACGTCACGCGTTTGCCTGACTAAAAATATGCCGTTGAGAAAGTTCTGAAATTCCGAGTAGGTATATCGGGAGATATCCGGAAAAAAAGAAATTTCGGAAAATTATTTTAATTTTTTACAGGTTTTATTTTTCAGAGGATTGAAAAATGAATTGCACTTTCACATTGCCAATTTTTCCCTACTACAGATTTGCTATCCGACGATTCGTCTTCCGGGCACCATCATTAACTTTATTTTTTCTTATGAACGCTACATTGGATTCTTTCTTTTTTGAATAGAGCCAGATTTTACTTTTTCAATGATGTATCATAAGTTATTATTCTTCTCAGAAAAATTGGAGATATTGAAAAAAATATTTCTTATCGTAATAGGCTCTGACTTTGATGTTTCTAAATTTGACTTTCAATATGTTACACTCAATGACATTTTGTTATTGTACAAGTCATTGTATTTTTGGCGAATTACAGCTTTCATGAATGAAGAAAAAAGAGATATGATACAAATTTATTACAAATACGATAGAAACAGTGTTAGGACATCGGAAATGTATTGAAACTTGTATCCCGATAGACGACAACCACATCGAACTATGTTCAAGTTATTGGATCAAAATCTCACAGAGTTTGGTTTATTTGAAAAGCCGAGGAAAAAATACGGAGGCAGAATGGACCAGGAAACTAAAGAAAATTTGATAAATGAGGTATGTACGAGGTAAGTTAGACAATGAACATGAACACCCTCTTCTAGATGAAATCATGACATCATATAATTTATTAATACTGTAACAGTTTTTATAACTTAGTTCTATGCAAATTAGGCACAAAAAGATCTCCGAATCTTGTGGCATAGGTACTGATGATCTTTTCTGTAGAAAAATTTGTCTTTATTTTTTTCTTTTTACTTTCTACAAAGGATGTTGACATGTGGTACTCAATACAGTTTATAGTCGATTGTCAATTCGGTAAAATTAGAACAAAAAATAGCAATGAAGATACAAAAATTTGCGTCCAGCTCAAAGTCACAAAAACGAGGTTTTTGTCACCTTTGACTTTCATAAGAACTAATGTTTCTGAGATATAACACGATTCAATAAATGGAAAGAGTTGTAATCATCATAATATGCGCACGTGGTTTTCCCGGTAGACCTATATTGCACGGACCTGTTGTGATTCTGTTTAATTTGAAACTGTTGAATAATAAAAGATTTTGGCAGGGGTTAAAAATGATAAAAGCGGTGTAAATTGAAAAATATGAAAATTTATTCGTTTGATTTATGATTCTCTAGAACCTACTTCTGCTTCCCTTCTTCTTGTCCTTCTCTTTGTTCTTCTCTTTGTTCTTCTTCTTGATCCTGGCTGCGAGTAAATCGCCTCAATAGTGATACATCAAATGTCTCCTAGTTGTTATCAAACGAATCCTCAACTGTTGATGATTCAACATTGGAGCACGACCGGTCTTGACAATTTGTACATGCTAGAGAACAAAACAGTCCAAGTTTTTTGTTATTGAATTGCACCAGAAAGATCATACACTTTGAAGTCAAATAGTGTACCATGGTATGACAACTTGGTTAAAATACATTGTGACAAAAGAGATTGGGCTTACAAGATGTTCAAAAATAATAGAACGGAAAAAAATTGGAACCACTATTAGTTTCTTCGAAATAAATGTGTGAATTTACTGAAACTCGAAAAAAAAAACACTATTATGATAAAATTGATCAAAATAGGTCAAATCCGAGGATTATGTGGAAAACACTCAAACAGCTTGTAAGTCCAAAAACTAATAGCAATAAGTTTATTGATGGTATTTATTTCAAAATAGATAGTCAGTCATTCATAAAAATAATCTAGATATTGCAGCATCATTCAACAATTATTTTATTGAAAGTGTACAAGAGATTGTGAACACTATTAATCAATCTGATTAACTTAATGAGAACAATATTATATCGATTAACAACTCCTTCGAGAAATTGAAAGTGTTGGAGTTAGCAGATCTGTCTAAATTGATCAACGGAGTGGAAATGAAATACAGCAGCAGATTCCCGAAGGAGCTCAAGACCAGTGTCCTTGTGCCAATTCAGAAAGTCCCTAACACAAATAAATCCTGGGAATTTAGACCAATCAACATTTTGCCTTGTGTTGAAAAAATATTAGAACTCGCAGTTTATAATCAACTCATTGAGTATCTAGAAAATAATGATATTTTACTAAAATATCAGTCAGGTTTCAGAAAACATCATTCATGTGAGTCTGCATTACAAGTCACAATATCAAAATGGAAAGAATCAATAGGTAAGGGACATTATATCATAGCCGTATTTTTAGATCTTAAAAGAGCTTTTAAGACAATTGATCGCAACATATTACTAAATAAACTGCAAAGTATTGCTATCAGGGAAACTGTTCTGTTATGGCTGACTGATTATTTATCACAACGCAAACAGGTAACCAAAATAAAGGATTCAGTGTCATCAACTCGCGATGTCATTTTCGGAGTACCTCAGGGGAGTGTTTTGGGACCTATATTATTTTTAATCTACCTGAATGATATAGATACCATCCATGGTTGTGATTTCATGAACCTTTTTGCAGACGACACTCTGTTATCAATTTCAGGAGATAATATAGAAACAGTAGCTGATCAAATGAATAATGAACTAAGAAATGTTTTCAAGTACATGAATAGCAATAAATTAAAACTCAACACCTCCAAAACGAAATATATGATCTTATCAACTGGTTATAAGCTATCACTCATCAACAATCTCAACATAAGATTACAAATTACAGGTGATGTAATAGAGTTCGTAAGTGAATTCAAATACTTAGGTTTCATGGTGGATAATCGTATATCTCTTCATGCTCATGTTGATTATATATATAGAAAAATTACTAAAAAAATATATTTTTTCTCAAAAATTTCATCTCAGCTTTCGATGTACTCAAAAATTACATTATATAATTGTATAATGCAACCCCATTTTTATATTATTGTGCTAGTCTGTTATACTCATTTGACCAAAATAAGGTATCGGCTTTACAAAAGTTACAAAATCGTGGCATGAGGATCATTTTACAGGTGAAAACGTATTCTAGTATATCAAACATGTTAAGTACATTGCAGTGACTGTCTTTTCCCAGAGACTGTACGAGTTAGCAATAATATTCATTTTCAAACTAACACATAACTTGCTTCCCAACCTATTTTGAAGAATTCTGTATATATAAATTTCAAATCCATAACCACTTAACAAGAGCGAGCTAGCTAGTACGATGAAGTCTTTATTTTATAAAGGTTTGAATGAGTATAACAAACTCCCCCTTTCGTTGAAAGTTATTCAGTAAATGTTTTCAAATTAAAAAAAAACTCATGAACTATATAAAATATTATACTTGATTTTCTTTTTTCTGTTTGGTAATATGCAAAAATTTTTTGTAACCACATTTAGCATTACACACCTTTTTACAGTTGCAAAAAATTGTGTTGAGCAGTTGAGAGTAAATTCTGAACTAGTTCTGATGTATTGTAGACCAACTTTCAACCCCAGTTGATAACCCTAGTTGATAACCAAGCCACACTGGAACTTGTTAATATACTCGTAAAAGATGTTGATGAACAGCCGCTGAGGTTGACGAAAAACAAGCTAATTGTTTCTAATTTCGAGTATTTTCAACAAAACATGCATATCTAAGCACGTAGTTTTTTTAGGAGCTGCATACATAGGGAGAGGAAAGCGAATTCCGTTGGTGATAACTTCTTGTGGGGTTGAATTAGGGGAGACCGGGGCAAGATGAAGTTCGGGGCAGCACGGGAAGTAAGCTTGTGTGCGTGAATAGTAATCGTGTTAGGAGCGGCGACAGCGCCATTTGCACGAACTTCACTCTCCGCTAGTGTGTCCAAGCAGAGCGAACAGGTTAGAACTCGTTTTTGCGTTGCAAAAAGAAAAAAGTGATATTGCAAGAGTTTTTACGCGATATTTGATTCGAAAACTGATGTACAGACATGTAAGTACCTGTGTTAATGTATTATTTCAATCCCGAGCTTAT